CAAAAAAAAGGGTCTCGCCACAAATACAAGATATCCACGAGGGAAAAAAAAAAAAAAAAAAGGAAATAAAAGGGGAGAAAGAGAGGGAAAGGAGGCGGAAACGAAGGAAGAGAGGAAGATTGAAGGAAAGGGGGGGGGGGGGGGGGGGGGGGGGGGGGGTTGGAAGATGGCGCAGGTCCGGAAGCTGGCACGTCACATATGTGAAGCTCAGGGGGTTCCAAAACTATGCGATCTCCCGATTGCATGCATGAAAGCTAGTTTACATGGTGGAGGGGGAAGGAGGAGGTGAGGAGATGAATGAGGAACCCATCATATCAGAACGAACAAAATCTTGTATAAGCACCAGATCGAGCCGGGGGCCATGTTGACGTCAACTTCAATTGCAGTATCTTCACGATCTCGCCGGCTCCGGGCTTTCAGGACCTTCTACCATCCAGCCCTGTCATGTGAAGCTCCCTGCTCCTTTGATCGGCGGTGGTCGTCGAGGTGACACCATCATGGTCCGCCGGATCTTGCATGGTTATGCTTCATCACTGGAAGTTCGCTCGGCGGTAGTCGACGAGGAGAGGGTTATGGAGTGGTCTAGGCCATTCAGCAGGGAGCGGAGGGAAGTAATCGGATGCTTCGTCACCGAGATCGACAAAGTGAACGATTCGGTGCGCTCGAGGGAATCAATGGTTGGGTCGGGAGGGGGAGAGGAGGTAGTCCGGATACAGGGTAGGGATAGTGCGGAGAATATTCGCGTAGGGACTCATAGTCCTCTTCTGCAGGAAAGGTTCCGGTGATGATGCAGTACAACTCCATATGGTTGTACTGTCTCCAGGCGACACTGAAGAGAAGGATATTGAGGGGGAAGGATGGGGAGCGATGAGGGAAGACTGTGCATAAGAGTCGTATGGCAAAGTGATGACAAAAGAGCTCGTTGGCAAAAATGCGGTAGTTTGGAGGGAACTCGATGTGGGGAAGAGGAGAAAAGGAGATAATCAAGAGGGTGGCGATAGATCGGACGAGGACGGAGCGCCCATGCGGGGAGGAGGACAGGGACGAAGCGCGGAGCGGGTGGAGGAGGGAGATGGGGAGCCGGAGCGGCGGCGCCGACGGGAGGATTCTACGCCATCGTGTCGACTGGCGGCGTCGGCATGGACCTCGGGGTTCAAAGCAGATCCTCCCCGTGCAGCAGGTGGTGCTCAGGCCGACGGGGCCTCTTGGGGTACTGAATCATCTGAATCAGATTGTTCATCCACTCAGATTGGTCGTGGTGGTATGAATCATCTGGGCTAGATGCAGGTTAGTGATGGGTACTGGTGCAACAGCTTGGGGCATGATGGTATTCACAGGTGTCATCTTGGGAGGAAGGGGAGGGGCGGAAGACAGGAGATGAGGAGAGGGATCCGGGGAGGGTCCGTCCTGATAGTCGTGATCAGGGCATGGGTAAAATCGCCCCACCTCTCTGAGCCACGAACGCCGTTTGGCGGCCACATCTTGTATCGTGTCCAAGATGTCTTCATCCCCCTGACTGATGTATTTGAGCGTATCTAGTAAGTCTGATTCAAGGGCTTTAGCGATGATGACAGGTAGCTGGTTCGTCTTTGGAGGGACCTTTTTCTGCAGTTTCGCCTTCAGTACCGGGTTACGGAGATGATCGATGAACAAGTCTCGAGCAACGTTTTCTTCCCACCCTGATTTAATTAACACGGTTTGAAATCGATCCACGAAGTCGGGTAGCAATTCTCCGGGTCCCTATGGGCGGGTTTTTAACACAAACCACGTAGCATCCTCACTGACTTCGTCGAACCTTGCTAGGAACGCTCTCTTGAATGTATCCCAATCTACCCACCTATGCCTTCTAAACCAATCATGAGCGGTGTTTCGGAGAAGAAGGGTGATGACACGAGGAAGATCCTCAGCGCCATATCCCTGAGCTTGGGCGGCTTCGAGCCATGCCTCGGGATGGGTATGGTTGGGGTAAAACGGGAAGGTGGTGGGGATGCTCACCATCACCCGAGGAGCCGCTCCATTAGCATCGGCCATAGGCATCTCTGGTCGGATTTCCACGGACCTTTGTCGAGTGACGGGAGGACTCAGACGATTGGATCGGTTGGCTGATCTTCCTCTCGCCAGCTCGTCTAACTAACGTCAGAACCGACACATATCGGCTCCGATACCAACCTCATGCCCTGCGTTGCTTCCCGATCGGAGTGTTTTGGTTCGCGGAAGGGCCCCGGGAGGACAGCGAAGATGGGGTGTGCCAAGGATTTTTGGAGAAATTGAGTGTGGGGCCACAGGCAGAACTGAAATCCCCCGTGTTGGTCCGACTCTAGTAAGAAGGAGGTCCGTTGCTGACAGGTTTAAGGGAGAGAAAGGTGCGCGCGGGGTTCGCGGCTATGGGAAATTCAATCCAAAAAATATCGTTGAACTTCCCAATGAGCCGTCGCTCTTTGCTTCGCGTGGAAGGGGGTGGGTACACACGTGGTATCCCGTTTACGGACGAGGTCTCGTCGGCGCTCGTTACACAACTCCGAATCCGACGTGGAGGGCTTCAATTGAGTTGCCCTCTCCTTATGCTCGTCCTCGCCACGTGTGCCGTAGTGGAAACCCTTGGCTCGGTAACACTCGAGGCGGCGACAGTCGCTCCACAAAGTGTTAGGCCAATGAGGCTCTATTGCCGTCCACGGGATGATGATCGACTCGTTAAATGACAACAACAACGAATAGGGCGGAAAGTGCGTATCAACAATAACAAAACCCGCACTGACGAACCCAGAACACCGAGTTTCAGGAGAAAAGTAGTAGCGCCCGCCGATCTTGGCGACGGCTTCTCGTACGTCCCATTCGCATACACGTGTCATTTCCTCGTTGTACGGGAAGGGGCTTAGAGGGGGCACGGGAGGTCGGCGCCCGGTCAGGTTGGGGTCGTCAGTCCACATGGCAACAAGGGCAAGCACAAAAATTATTCCTAATCGTACATCATTCGTGCGACACTCTAAGCAACCAGATCATCCAGTCGATCAGCCAATCATCCTCCCAGTCATGCTACAACAAGCCCACTGCATGCACATATCAAAGTGAGAGAAGCAAAGTTACCATAATCCATTCATTATAACAAAACATGACAGAAGGAGAGAGCGAGGGCGAATAGACGCAGATAAGAGAGGAGGAATGAGGAGAAAGCAATCACAAAATTTTCGACGATCTCGTTAAGGGAAATTCTGACTTAAAAGCCGAGTGATCAGAACTCACGCTCGAAGACATAGATTTTGGGGCAAAGAGAGGCGCTTCCGTCATAAGATTCCACCATGGCCCCAGGCCATGTACTCACTCAAATTCCGGTTCGAACTTCTCACAAGCACTGACGATCCCGACCGTCACGTGCTAATCCACCATAGCGATCGTCACCCAGCTAACTTAGTCTCAGTACTGTCTGGCATGGATCCCACAGTTCGTCGGGCAATCCAGCGTGACGCCGCCAGGACTACAGTTAGCTCGTCGGGACTTTTCGACTCGCACCTTCCCACATACCATCTAGCCACTGCTTCCCGGCAACTGGCAGCTGAGTCGAGAGAGATATTTTCGGGAGCGTTTGCGGAAATTATAGCTGCGGAAAAGGAGATAGATGCTAGGAAGGGTTAGGACTGAGGTAGGGAGGGGTAGGGAGAAGTTCGGGGATAATCGCCCGTCAAAAGCCATGTCGATCCTTCGGAGCCCAGTCGTAGCCAATCAGAATCGTCGTGTAACAGGACTATCCTTCTTACACAGCGCGTTTCCTTGGCTAGAGGGGAAGAGGAGGAAATCGTTAGGGTATTCCGGGGCAAGGTTTAGAGCGGAAAGAAGAAGAGCGAGAAGAATAGCGCGAAACTGAACCAAGATCAGACGATCAAGAAAGAGGAAAGGTGCGTGCAGGCGAGGGAGAGATGGAAAAACGGTTACAGAGAGAGAAGGAGCGTGAGCGCGAAGAAGAGAGTGTCGAAGGTAGCGAGGGAAGCGGGGAGGGGAGGTTCGCATGCATGGCGCCGACGCGGAGGCAAAAAGGGCACCGAAACAGTTATACCTAATTCAAAAATTGAAAAGTACCATATCCGCGCTTAGAGTGAGCGCGGGAAGAAGTCCTATACCTATTCAGATTCCAACGAAAATTCCCAGAGTTTTCCAAGACGAAGTCGAGAACATTCATGCACAAGAAAGGACACGTCAGATTCCGCTCATTCCGGAATTCCTAACCATCAACCCAAATTCCTAGCGCGCTCGCTAAGGCGCGTGTAATTACCATGTATTTCCTGAATTGCGAAAAGTTGAAATTCCAAAAGTCGATCCAAAAAATTGACGAAGGTCTTGAGAAAGACGGGCCTCCCTGATTACGAACAATGCACATTAATTCATGGAAATACAAAAAGAGGCCCCACCGGCCTGTTTGCAAGAACACCAAAATTTGAAAAAGAGAGAGAGACGGTGGGGGGGGGGGGGGGGGGGAAGATGGCGCAGGGCGTGAGGTTGGCCATCACATGACCTTTAGATTATAGTGTCCAGATATGTTTGGAATATTGAGCAGTGGAGCGAAGCCCCAAGTCAATCCAGTAGTTTTTTAGCATGTTTTAACATGGCCATAGTATGGCCATGTGATTTCAGATGGGACCGCCATGAATGACTGATGCTTAAACCACCAGTACCTCGCCCAGCTATGCAGTCCGAGCCCCGACCAACCGGTACCCGATCCTTGCCGAGGCTGGTGCTACCGGGTGTTCACAAGAAAAACAACAAGAAATTGAGAAAAATGAAAAGAGACAACAAGAATGTTGTGTGAAAATAAAAAGAAATAAGAAAAACAATTCGTAAAACATAAGAAAAAGGAAAACAATGCAGCGCGGATGTGGCTGCTACGGGGTTCCCCATAATACTATAATGACGATAAAAAAGACCTGAAAGGCCGTCCTCTCCAGATTCGACAGGTATTTGAATTGGTTGGGCTTAAACCACCAGTACCTCCCCCAGCTAAAAAAAAAATGATGCGGCTGTTAACGCGCCGCGTAGGGCGGGGTACCTAGGGACGAGCATCCGGTATTCCCAAAAAAACACAAAAAAAAAAAAAACATCAACGAAAACAAACGGAAAGAAACGGAAAGAAAAACGGGCATGGCAGGGGGGAGAGAGAGAGAGAGAGAGAGAGAGAGAGAGAGAGAGAGAGAGAGAGAGAGAGAGAGAGAGAGAGAGTCACCACAGCACTCTCAAAATGTGAAAAAGACAAAAAGTGGTGGGCGCATGTGCCCATGTTCTCATGGCAATTTCGTTCTCATTTTGCACATTTCAAGAGTGCTGTGGCGACTCTCTCCACTGTCTGGCGCCGAGTTTGGCACACCAAACTCGGCGTCACACTGTCTCTCTCTCTCTCTCTCTCTCTCTCTCTCTCTC